ATAGAGGCAATGTTTCATTGCAAAACAGTGCCTGAGAACTGCCCAGCTTCATTTTCTGAAATTATCAAGGTTTCCCATGCATACACAATAGTTCGGTTGCAAAATAAAATAGAATAAAATAAAATAATCTTCTGCAATAGCTTCAAGCAATAATCTATATTTTGTAGTAACTGCATGTAGAGTCTCAGTGAAGTGAAGCCAAGTTCATTACCGACTCAAGTGAACTCAACCAAGGTTTGAAAGAAAGGTCATACGTAAAATCTCGGTTGAATTAAATGGTACAGGTTTGCCAGGAACATCCCTTCCCAGCAGTATATTTAAGGAGCTGGAAGATTTACTTTCTTTGTACACAAATTCATAATTCATCACTAACAATGAACTTTAATACAAATGTTTTTCACCCATTAGATAAAAGGCAATTTTAGAAGGCAAAGCATATGCCAGAAGAAGTGCTATTATTTGCTTTAGGTAAGTTCTGATCAATTCCTTAAGAGTAAATTTGATATAAGTCATTCAGATGGTAGAATTTTGATTTTTTTTTTTTTAAATTGTGGCTGTAAAGTTATAATTTCAGCATGATTTCATCATTGAAATGCACTTTATTATTTCTTAAATCTAACCAATAAGGACTTTTTGCTTTTCTTTCATGTAAATAATGTAATTCAGGATTTATTTTTTTAAGCCTTTTTGGGAAAAAGAATCTCTAGTCATTTTGAACTATGCAGATTCATCCTTTAATCCAAACTATATATAAATATAAACTATATATAAATAAAAAGCATAATTATCATAAAAATATGTTACAGCAATTTTCAGAGCATATGGTCCAAAAATATAGTATTTACTGAAGTAAAAATCTTAAATAGTGTATCAAATTCTGCTCTCGATGAAATTATGTAAATGTAATTACGCTATGAGGTTACAGGGAGGCATCTTACAGTAGAGAAGACTCCTGTGCCCTCATACACACAGAGAATTAAACCAGGTAGATGCATGCATAGAAGTGGAGGTTTGAACCAGACTTCTCTGTACTTCTCTTTTCATTCTTCTGAAGGAATACCAAAAGTTTTTGTTTCAGAGTGAATTCTTAAACGCATTGTGAGCAGCAGCATATGAGCACGTTCTTTTCTAGAAAATTCCAATTACTCATTCGTTTTAAGACAGAATATGTACACAGGAATATATGAAATAATATATTTTCCTTTTGCTTCGGCTAGGGTTCTTAACAGTGCCAAGCACAAGCTCTGATGCTTGCAGGCTAGAAACAGTAGGGTTTCAGGACGTTAGGATTTAGATAATCTTTTACAGTGTTTAGTTGATACATGCAATAAATTTTTACTCATTGCAGTTACTTTCCTTTTGTTCTGTATTCATCTAATTTGGGGAAAATAGTTGTATCCTTTTTACTTACATGTGTCTTTAGGTCGTTTTTGAGTGCTGGAGAGCCATGCAGAGATGGTTAAGAAGTTACCTTAGTCACCCATCTAGTTATCCTAGATCAGATGAATACCTACAGTTTTTAATTATATTTTAAATAAAATTCTTGCTGATACACAAGACAGAAAAGTATCAAGCTCCTCCTTTTAACTTGAGATTATTCTCCCAAATCATACACTAATAAACATTCCAGTGTAGAAAAACAATTAGTTATCTATTCCCTGTACTTACCACTATTGCAAGCCGTAATTACAGAAATATTTGTCACATTGATTTCAATAATGTTTAAATCTTTATTGATTACAGTTCCTAAACAACTCTCTGCTTTGTAATACAGACCTACAGTGAGGCAACAGACAAGCAGTAGGTGACAAGATTAGGTGGATCCTCACAGTTCATAATGGAAGAGATACAAGACAGTCACTGAAAAATACCCATTGCGATAGAGAAAGAAATACTTTCTATACTTTCTTTTCATAGAGAAAGAAATACTTATAGAGAAAGAAAGGGAAGAATGAAGTGAAGAAGCACTGAGTGAAAGGCAAAAGTCCAACTTTACAACACCTGCACGAGAATAGACAAAATTGTAGATATTCAAGTGAGAGAACTCTGGGCCACTCTATTCTTGTAGGAGTTTGCCATTCTTAAGCGAAGGGATTTTGGCATATTTGCATCTATAATACTGACTACTTTCAGAAAACCAACCTCCCTAAACAAGATTTCAGACCATAAATTGGCCTGGATCAAACTCAAATTCATGTGATGAACTAAAAAAAGAAAATGAAAGTAGACAGGAGACACAACTGAAGTCATGTTGGAGTAATTGTAAAGCTTCTAATTCTTATGTTCTTATTTTTAAAATCTTCTCAGTCCTTGCATTATTTTTCATAAATTCCCCCCTTTTTTTTTTCCACTTTCACTTGTTTTCCTTCTAATAAATGTACTTGAGTTCAATGTAAACAGCTGAGTAACTCAGCTTGTAAACGGGGCTGAACTTCAGTAAAACCATGCAATCTCTGCCTCTGACAGTCAAATAGAGCAGATCCAGACTGCATCTACAGGGTATGTGAAAAAGTGTGTATTTTCAACAAATAAAACCTTACCCAAATGCCTCACAGATGAGATAGTTTGTTCACTGAAGTCTAGCAAAACAAAACAGTATAAAAGGGGAAAAAAGCACGTGAGCCTAAATAGGAGTAGTATACTAATTCCTGTTTCTCTGTTCCAATAGTTACATTGCTGTGCTAGTTAACTCACTTAGGCAAACTCTGAGGGTACCGACTGAGGCAATTGCCATCTCTCTACTGTTTTAGATCTAATTCCACACACACTGAGCTGAAACTGCATCAGCTGTCTCTGAAACAGTATGATGAACTAATCACCAAAGTTAATTATTATTATTCTTAGGAACAACCATTGTAATACAATACGATTCTTAATAAACCAACAGGTGGAGATAATAAAGCTACAAACAGCTGAAGTTAACTTCTTACTACATGACTTTTAGCCCAATGTTAGTATCCTTAGCACAACTTCGCTGACTGCGATTTCCTTTAGCACATTAAAGACATGTTACAAAGGATGAAAAGCGTAGCACTTACAGTGATTTAACATTTAAGTGGTCTTTTTTGCCGTGAAAGAAAATACTCAAGAAAAGCTTACTGGCCATTTCATTTCTGGAGAAATTATTTTATCTGCTTTAGTGTTAACCCCCTTTTCAACAAGCTGTCTAACTTGGGCCTGTCTAATCAGGGAGGACAACAGAATTCCAGACTTGTATTCTGAATAGTAGAAGATGAGATGACTTAAAAAATCATGTTGTTTAAATTTGTAAAGTAATCTTTAGCTTCTTAATAGTCAGCATTCAGGCATGAGATATAATCCATGCAAAAGAACTGCAAGGTTCATCAGCCTAAGGAAAAACCTAAGTGGCTTGTGTGATATTCCTTTCAGGGGATGCCTGATTTAGCAAAGATTTGCCAAATCATGTCACAGAAGGAAAATCTTGCCAGCCTTGCCAATTCCAATTTAACCCTCAAAAATCTATCTATCTTAGTTATAATATATATATTTTTTCTATATATATGCATACATGCATAGATAGATCAATTGATCAATCAATCAACTGATTGATCTTAGTGTTCTATTTCTTTGCACGTTCCATATCAGGCAAAATCATCAAGTTCTCTCCAGAGACCAAGCATTTTTTATTTGTTTATGGTTTACACATTTGGAAATTAGTACTGCTCTTAAAAGTTATAAATGGACCCAGACAATTCCAGCTCTGAAAAGGGAATATGACCAGGAACAACATTTTTAAATTAGATCCATTAAAATACATTTCCTTCTGGAGCCTTCACAAAAAGAGCACTAAAGGATATACAGTATCTCAAAAACTTTTCTCCCGGCTTTTGAGATCTTTCAGTATATCTTACATGACTCACTTCACGTCCTGCCTTTCACCTCTCTGACAATTTGCATTTATTTTATAGCCAGAAGATATTCAATCTGCCTCAGCGATTCAGAAGAACACATTTCGCAATATCATTATTATCAGCATCTTATTGGATTCAGCATTGAGAAAGCATGTACTACACCAATATAAGCTATTTTGCGGCACACAAAAACAAACAATAGACCATTGAACAGATTTCAGTGGTCTGATAAAGATATTGGTGGAACAGACCAAAGATTTGATATTAGCTCTGTATTCTCCAACAATAGCCAAAGATTGAGGAAAATAAATAAAAATAGTGGCCATAAATGGAAAGGGTAACAATAATGTAACTTCAGAGACTTTTTTGCCTTTTAATCTTAATTACATTATTGGCATCTGGAAAATAAATGTTAAAGACAGAATGAAATCTGAGAACTTTGCATTGTTTTTTAAAATGGTTTCTTTTTGTCCTTCTCTAATACGTACATTTGATACACAGGTTTCTTCATAACACAAACCCTTGCTTCATTCTCATCTCTCACACCTCTCCATCTTACCCAGAGCGTACTAGTAATCAAGTTCAGATATGTCTTTGCAAAAAAACCAATCAGAACTAAATCTTACTTTATCATTTTTTTTCTGGGGAAAGAAAGTCAGGTTTCACACATACAAAAGTTATGAACATTATGAAATACAGAAGAATTAATAGTGTTTGGATGCATTAATATTCATTTGCATAACTATGTTTTAATAGGAGTAATGGACCATTTATGGAAACTCTACTCTAGTGCACCTAATTCAGGCTAGATGATAGCCAACTATGATTTATTAATGTACTATAACTTCTGTGGTAAAAGTAGTAAAAGTACACTTTATATATCTATAAACTGAATGCTAGGGATTGCAGTCTGAGAACTTTAAGGTAAAATACTGAAAAGCCTAGGTTTCCCCAATGCTCAGCCCTAACTCCATTTTCCAATATAGAAATGCAAAAACTCAAATAAGGGTGGTAATAAGTTTCTAAAGGTCAGGTTTCCAAATTATAACTCAGTATTTTGAAGGCAAAGTAAAGGATCACGCCTGAAATAAGTCATTAGAGAGCGGAGAATGTATGAGAGTTTCTTACCTCGGCAGTTGGGTAAAGGGCTACTCCACTGCCCATTGCTTCGGCACTGTGCTCGAGAAGCACCCTGAAGTAAGTACCCAGTGTTGCAAGTAAAATTTACAACATCATTTAAATTGAACTCACTGCCATTAGTCATTCCATGAGCTGGATTCCCAGGATGTCCACATGTGATTGCTGTTAAAAGAAAAACAGGCAGGTTAGCATCTGACTGAATGGTACCGTTCCATGGAATCACGTGCAGGTTGGAGCTCTTTCGATTTTTTTTTTACTTTCTGAATTTGTCTTTTAGATTTATACCAGAAATTTAAGAAAAAATAGGATATACTTATTCAGAATTCTTAACTGCCAGGAGAAAAATCTGCATTTTCCAACAGAACTTTTAGAATCTAATTTTTACCTTATGTTGAAAGTTGTAACATAAATAATCTTTTATATATATATATGCATTTTGACACCCATCTGACACGTATTAGAGCTTTAAAAATGTAGTCAGTTCACTATGTTTCCTACTAATGCAAATAAAGTATTTTTTCCCTGCAAGCTTCAAAATGTAGCAGGGCCAAAGAAATTGAATTTGATGTACTGCTTCAGAGCATTCTGGAGTTCTGAAGCATTCTTGTTCCAAAGTTCTTGAGTTACTTTGCTGAAGTAATGATCCTTTTAATCAGACTGTCCTATGGCAATAGAGGAATCATTGTTGGGAGTAAATCTTTCCCATTATGTGTATTAAGTGTGTTGATCATGCTTAAGTCAGACTTATAAAATACAATTCGTATGGTCAAGCTCTAGCTTTCCACATGACAAGACATTAAAATAACATAGAAAAAATATAGAAATGCATAGATACTGATAATACAAAACCAGAATGTGTGTGTGTATATATATACACACAGACAACTTTTCAACACTGTGCTATTGATGTTTATCATACTCAAATAAATATCCTAGATACGGGTTTATTTTTTGCTTTATTTATCTGTGGGTTGGGTTTTTTTAATTGAAAAGAATCACAGAATCACAGAATGGATTAGGTTGG